GAAGACATAAATATGAGAATCTACTCTTGGGCTCTGGGAGAGGGAAAACGGAAGAGGAACAGGGTAATAGAACCAGATCACCCTAAACCTAAAGCACGTTGGTATTGAGCTCACTCATTCTGTCACTTCCCTTTTCTATTTTATAAAGAGGGGGCAGGAAATAACATAAAAAGTATAAGAAAATAGAATGAAGCAAAATGCACAATTAATGATCATAACTATGAATATCAATGAGATCAGCTTACCTATAAAATGGAAGAGGACCAGAAAGCAGAATCCAAAAATATACTGTTTATAAGAAACATACTTGAAATGTAAAGATTCACAGACTGTTAAAACAAGGCCTAGAACAAATGCTGTTATGATTCAGCTGAAATTAAAAAGGCAGAGGTAGCAATCATGATCTCAGACAAGGCAGCGGTAAAAATAGACTTAATTAAAAAAGAATAAGGAACTACATTTCGCTGAAAAGGGCAACTTGTAATAAATTAATATCAATTCTAAAAACATATGCACCAAATATGATATATCAATTAAATACACAAAGGAAAAATTAAATTAATTATAAAGAAAAAGAGACAGTAAAATTATGAGTGGGAGACCTCATCCCTTTTAGACTTAGATAAATCTAACCAAAAAGCTTAATAAATAAGTACAGAGAAGCTGAAGTATTAAAAACATCTTTTACAATGTAATAAAAATTAAATTCAGTAAGAGGCCACTGAAGAAACCATTAAAGGTCATTGGAGACTAACTAATGTCATACTTTAGTGAGTCAAAAAAACAAATCACAGAAACAATCAACAATTTCATTAAAGGTAATGGCAGACAATTTTGAACATTTTTGGGGTGTAGCCAAAGCAGTCCTTAGGATAATTTTATATTTTTATTTTATTTTCTGTATTTTCTATCTCTAAACATTTTCACCAATAAGAGAAAGAAAGAGTAGATCAATAAATTGGGTTCATAACTTTAAAAAACCCCTAGAAGCCAATAAATTTAAACCGTATAATTAAACAACAAAATGGAAATCCTGAAAATCTTAGAAGATATTAACAAAAATGAAAGCAAAGAGCTCTCCAGTGAATTAATAAATAAAACTAGACACTGCTTTTGGGGAAATCAATATAGATAAATCATTAGCCAATTCAATTTTTAAAAAGAAAGAAATCAAGTTGTTAGTATCAAAAATGAAAAAGATGAATTCGTAATCAGCAAAAAAGAAATAAAAGAAATTATTAGAAAGTACTTTGCCCTGGCATAATGCCATTAAAACAGACAATCTAAATGAAATGAATATTTACAAAAATATAAAATGTGCAGAGCAATAGGTCAAGAAATAGAGGAATTAAATACCCTGATCTCAGAAAAAGAAATCAAACAAGCTTAAAAAAAAAAAAGCTTCCAATGGAAAACAACAACATTAACAACAACAACACTAGCAACAACAGAAACAACAACCCAGGACCAGACGGATTTATAAATGAATTCTATCAAGTATATAAAGAAGAATTCATTCCAATACTACAAAAGCTGTTTGAAAAAATAGGAAAACTTATCTTACCAAATTCATTCTATGACACAAATACAGTCTTGCTACCTAACTTAAGGAGAGTCAAAATGGAGAAACTATAGACCAGTATCCCCATAGGGAAGGGGCAGCTAGGTGATGCAGTGGATAGTGCTTTGGGCCTTCAGTAAAGAAGACCTTAGCTCAAATCCAGCCTTAGACATTTACTAGCTGTATAAATCTGGGCAAGTCGCATAACCTCTGGCTGCCTCGATTTTCCCAACTGTAAAATGAGGACAATAATAAAACCTACCTCATAGGGTTGTTGTAAAAATCAAATGAGATAATATGTATAAAGAGCATCTCACAGTACATGGCATATGTTGCCATGAGTCATTTTTTAGTCATGTCTGACTCCTTGTGACCCCATTTGGGGTTTTCTTGGCAAAGATACTGGAGTGTTTTGCCATTTCCTTCTCCTGCTCATTTGATAGATGAGGAAACTGAGGCAAAGAGAGTTAAGTGACTTGCCCAGGGTCACATGGCTAGTAAGTGTCTAAGGAATTAAATGAGATTTGAACTCAACAAATTGAGTCTTCCTGACTCCACACTATATACTGTGCCACCTAGCTGTCTGTACATGGCACGTAGTAGGTACTTAATAAATTATTGTTCCCTTCTCTATTGAAGATTAATGGAAAAATTTTAAAATAAAATATTAGCAAGGAGATTATTAACTAGAAAGGAAAATACTAGCAAGCAACATATCATAAGTTTTATACACTACAACTAGGTTGAATTTATACCAGGAATGCAGAGCTGGTTCAATATCAAGGAAATATTGACCATATTAATGTGAAGAAAAACAAAAAACATATGATCATAATAATAGATGCAGAAAAAGTTTTTGACAAGATGTAAACCCAATTTCTCTTAAAACAAAAAAATTAAGACAAACAGATCTTTCCTTAATAATTATGATATTCAAATATCAAATTATAATTTAACACATAATAATTATAACATTATAACAATTACATTATAGTTATGGTGATTATTGTAATGATCATAACCTAATTATTATAATGTTAATATTATACAATTAATATACAAAACAAAGAGCATCAGTATCAATAATGGGGATAAACTGGAGGTCTTTCCAATACTATCAGAGATGAAGCAAGATACTATCACCATTACTATTTGACAGAGTATTAGAAATGCTAGCTTTATTGATAAGATATGGAAAAGAAACAGATGAATTAAGTATAGAGAAAGAAAAAAACAAAATTATCACTTTTTTGAAGATGATATTATGGTTAAATTAGAGAACCCTAGAGAGTTGACTAAAAAATAATTAAACAATTAACAACTTTAGCAAAATTCATATAAAACAGACCCACAAAAGCCTTCAGCATTTCTGTATATTACTGACAAAATCCAACAAGAAGAGAGAGAAATTACATTTAACATAATTACACAAAGTAAAAAATATTTGGGATCTACTTGCCAAGACACACACAGAAATTATATGAACATAAAATTATATTATATATTATATATATATAATTATATTTATACATGCTATATCATAACATGTAATATGAATACAAAGCACTATTTATACAAATATAGCCAAATCTACATAATTGGAGAAATATGAATTACTCATGGGTAGACTGAGCCAAAATAATAAAAAATAGCATTACTACCCAATTAAGTTACTTATTAAGTTTCATACCAAATTACTAAAGGATTACTTTATAGAGCCAGAAAAAAAATAACAAATAATTCATCTGGAAAAATAAAACACAAAGACTCTCCAGGGAAATAATGAAAAAAAAAATGTGGGAAAGAAGAAGGCCTAACAATACCAGATCTCAAATTATACTACAAAGCAGCAATTGTGAAAATGGAGAGGCTGATCAGTGGAACAGATTAGGTATGCAATATCCAGAAGCAAATGAGCACAGTAGTCTGGAGTCTGATAAAGCAAAGATCCCAGTTACTGGGACCTATTATTCAACAAAAACTGTTGCAAAAATTTTTAAAGTAAACTGGCAGAAACTAGGTATATTCTAGCATCTTACTCCATAAACCAAGATAAGCTCTAAATGCATTGATAACCTAGACACAAAAAGTAACCTCACAAATAAGAGGACCAAGGAAGAAATTACTTATCAGGGGATCACATAAGTTAATATGAACAATTTTGATATATAAAATTTTAAAGTTTGTAAAAAACAAAGCCAATGCTGCTAAAATTAGAAGACAAGCAAGAAATTAGAAGAAAGCAGAAAATCTTTGTTGCGAGTTTCTCTGGTACAATTTTATATAAGGAACTGAGTCAGATTGGTAAGAATAAGAGCCATTTCCCAAATTATAAGTGATATGAACACAATAAATGAGAAATGATTCCCCAAATGATAAAAGACTATGAACAGGCAGTTTTCTGAGGAAGAAATCCAAGCTATCAATTGTCATGTGAAAAACTGCTCTAAATCACTAATAATTAGCAAAGTGCAAATTAAAATAACTCTAAGGTTCTACCTCACACCTATCAGATTGGCAAAAATGACAAAAAAAAAAAAAGGAAAATGATAAATGCTAGAAGGGCTGTGAGAAAACAGGTATTTTAGTGCACTTTTGATAGAGCTGTGAACTGGTCCAGTCATTTTGGAAAGCATTTGGGAACCATGTCCCAAAACATTATTAAACTGTGTATACCCTTTGGCACTACTATACCATTTCCAGGACTATACTCCAAATAGCTCAGACAAAGAGGAAAAAGATTTATATGTACAAACACATTTGGAGTGGCTTTTTTGTGGTGGCAAAGAAGTAGAAATTGACGGGGTGCCATCAATTGGAGACAATTTATGGAAATGATGAGGGAAACAGTTTCAGAAAAACCCGAGAAGACTTTTATGAACTGATGCAGAGAGAAATTAGCAGAACCAAGAGAAAAATTTATACAATAACATTATAAAGGCAAACAACTTTGAATGGTTTGGGAACTCTGATCGATGCAACTAACAGTGATTCCAGAAGACTCATGAGGAAACATGCTACTTACCACTTGACAGAGAGGTGAAGGCTCAGAATACAAATTGAGACATATATTTTTTGGTATAGCCAATTTGAGAACTTGTTTTGCTTTATTATAAACCTTTTCAGGGGGAGTTTTTTTTCTCTTCTCTTTCTCTGTAGAGGATGGGAAGGTGTGAGGGAGAGGTGAAATTTTATTGATTAAAAAATAATTTAGGGCAGCTAGGTGGCGCAGTGGATAGAGCACCGGCCCTGAAGTCAGGAGGACCTGAGTTCAAATCCAGCCTCAGACCAAACACTTGACATGTACTAGCTGTGTGACCTTGGGCAAGTCACTTAACCCTATTTGCCTCACCCCCCAAAAAAAATTTTTTTTAAATTAAGGGAATCCCAAGGTTTTTCATATAGGTTATATTTTTATAAAAGTATTTACACTATTTTTCTTTCATGGTTAAACAGCACAACCACAAGTTATTGCTCAACTTTTAATCACTTACACTGTAGGTGTATGAACATGTACACATATAATTTTCTTATCTTCATTTCCCAGCAAAATGGATAACAAAAACTTCTGAGCCATAAAATAAATCAATGAAACGTAATACCAAAAGTAGTGCGTTGGAAGAAAGCTTGATAGAAAATTCAATTGATTTCCCAGTTTAAATACAACTTTCATTCCTGGATGACTTTACAAAATGACTATATATACATATTTCAGATTTTAACACTTGACAGTGGTTTGTTGAAACATTCACGAATATAGCCCAGCCTTGATTAGTTTACTCTGAAAGGACAGATGATTTAATAGACTGTATTTTTTTCTCTTTCCAGGATTTATAGTGCTGAGTGCTTTTATCAGTCAGGTTACCAGAACATTATACTGTATACTATCCCCATTGCAATTACTTCCAAGAGTACCAACCCAAGCAACAAAGGAAGCTCATTGGATCCATATAGTGTTGTCTCTCTCAGTTCTATGGGATTCTGCTGTCAGCTCCCCAAATGTAGAAAAAAACTGCTCCATTTCTTTCTGTAATAGATCATTTCTTTTCTCTGCATCTTCTTTTGCTCTCTCAGCATTTCTCATTTTGATCTCCACCATTGTGAACTTTTTCCTCTCCTGATCCAGTTCTTCATGGAGGGTCATCATTTCCATTTCCAAGGTCAAATTTCGTTGCTCCAAACTGCAAGGGGAGGAAAAGGCATAGAATGGACTCAGTAAAAATGGAGAAAAATGGACAAATAACACCAACGCTTAATCTTTGCCTCCCCTCATTTTCTAGAAGAAAAGTCCAGAAGGTTTAAGTTCTTAAACATGGGTAACACAGCAGTTCCAGAACTGTGAAGCCAAGCCACTTGAATTCCAGTGCTTACAGCCTAGGACTTTGTCTAGTCTTTCTCACTATTAGATAAGAAATCAGACTGACCTATTTTTCGTCTGCAGAACTGATTTTCTTTTTAAAAAAAAAAACCCATCATTTTGCTTTATTTATATTTTACAAGGTGCTTTGTCATTATTGTCATTGTTCTTAAATCTCTGTGGGGCCAAGCACTTATTTAAAGATGGAATGATACTACAGATCAGGGGTGGGGAACCTGCATCCTTGAGGCCACATGTGGCCCTCCAGGTCCTCAAGTGCGTGGCCCTTTGACTGAATCCCAACTTCACAGAACAAATCCCCTTAATCAGAGTGGCCTTGAGGCCCCAGGTTCCCCACCTCTGCTATAGACAGACCAACAGCATGCAGCCAGCTACTTGCAAGTCAGAAGGGGAGACGGCAATCATTTTCAGCTGGAGTAAACAAACCAACTGTAAATTAAGAATTCTAGAGCTATTCCCAAACACACTTCTGTGGAGATCCTCTCCATTTATGACTCTATGTGCATGTGTTCTTATTTGGAATGACGGCAGGCCTTCTCTACCCTCTGTAAACAAAAAGTTGTATTGGTGTATGTACACGGGAGGCATCCATCACTCGTGATGACAAAAGTAAAATTTCTTTACTTCCCCATCCGTGGTCTCACGATCCCTAAGGCCAGTAAGAGAAGTAAAAATGAATACCATAAAATAAGGGGCCTGAGGATTCCCTCCCATTTTGCAGATGTGGAAACTGAATTCTGTTAAGTTAAATGTTTTATTCAAACTTTCAAGCTACTGATTGTTAGAGCTGGGATCCAGGCTAAACCCTGATTTGTGGCTTTTTCCATTACATTCAGAGGTTCATATAATAGAGCAAACTCGCTGAGCCACAGTTTTCTTTCCTATAAAATGGTGATAATAATATCTGAAGTACCTACCTCACAGGGTTGTTATGAGACTCAAATAATATATTATTAAACTTTGTAAACTTTAAAGTGCTATTATTACTATAACCAAAATTAACATGATGCATGCAGTAATCTTCAGTCTTCTTAGCACAGACCCAAATTTTTTGGAACCTGTGGCCAATTTTTTTTTTCAATTCTGTTTTCCCAGTTAAAGCACTATTCAGCTGCCCAGATGAGCGTTCCATAAGGGAATTCCTCTCTGGCATTTCTTAGGAAATTTATATATTTCTCAGAATCATGAGAAAAAAAAATCAGTTGAGAAATAAGGAAAAAGTATGATCACTAAAGGCAAAAAAATCAATATAAAGACCTATCTATTTCTAAGGAATATATGGACATCAAGCCAAAAGCAAGAGAAAGAAACTCTGACACACAAAGTTAAAGGTTAGGGTTGACATTTCTGGAAATCAGGACAGGAGCACATAGGAGAGAAGTGTTCATGATCTAATCAGTCTGGCTTCTAACTGCTGCAGTGTTCTAAGTGTGTGGTCATGGCCCTGTCTGCTCCTGAAGGTGAGTCATTCTTAAAAATAGGACATCATTAAGTTCATATGCATAGTGTGATTCGTACAAACTGTATGAGTAGTGTTAAAAGATTAACAAATTTTAGAAGCAAAATAAGTCTTCTAAATTGGCAATTCTGATATGGGATTCTGCATGGTGCTGTTAACCTTGCTAGGAGATATGAATATTAAGTTATCTGAATATAACCTGGCATTTTCAAGTGTTTAAATATTCACTATGGGTTACATTTATGTGTAAATACCACTAAATTCAATATTTTTATTTATTAAACAATTTTAGACATTCATAATGAGTATGAAGAATGTTGGAAATATAATATTAAATACATTAAGAAAGACAAAAGAAACCAGTCTGTTCATTGCCAATACTATATTGGTTCATTCTAATAGTGAACCATGCGATTATTTTTATAAATTTGTTTTTTACCAAAAAAAACCCTCTTAAACTTTTAATATAACCCTATCACAGAAAAATGACTTGCTGTTTATTTTTATGGTAACTCATTATTTAAAACATAAAATGTTATGAAAATACAGAATAACTCATAATTTCAGGAATTCCTGAGAAGTCCCAGAAATACTTGTTTTTTTGGGTTCCCAAATCCCAATGATTAATATCTGTCAGGAATTCAGAAACATTAGCCCAGATCCACTGTGAACATGCCTCATCCAATTATGACCATCATCCTTTCTCCAGGTTCCTTAGTCTAGCAATTTTCTCTTATAAAGTTCTTAACACCAACTGCTTTATGAAATATATAGTAACTATTACAGCTTTAAGAAATTGGGATCCAGCATGCTTGACTCAGATAATTTTATCATTGTTCCCAATGATTTCTACTGGGAACAATTAACCAAATGCTAGAGATCTCCTGGGCCACATGATAAAATTTCAAAGAATGCGTATCTGAATTTCATGCAAATTTCATTCAACTTCTCTTTATTCTTTCTTTCACTTCTTCCTGCTACTGCCTGAAGCTCTTTGCCTCTCTCCATAGTCCCTTCAACACTTTCCACCCCAATCTTCTCCCTGGAATCACTGCATGCCTTATGTTTACAACTATCTGGTACCACTTACCTCTTTATCCTGGATTCATATTCTATTTTCTGTTTATTTATCTCCTGTTTTAGGTTAGAAACCAGGTTGTGCAGGGCACTAGGGTTGCTTGTGTTAATCCCAACAAAGGTTTCCACGTTGTCCCTACTGGGATCTCCCACAATCCTCTTCTCAACTTTGTTTTCATAATCTCCAGGGTATAAGGAGGACTCCTCAAGGGAAGACCTTTCCAACACAGGATCTTCAAGGTCTGCACCACAGAAGTCATGGTCTGGACAAGAGGTAGAATTATCAGAAAGGGATATTTCACCCAAGGAGACAGACCAGGTAGTGCTGTCTGTGCTCTGCTTATCCTCTAAGCTCACCGGAGAGAACTGCTGGTGGACATTGTCATAGGTAGAGAGCCTGTTTGCTTGGTCCACGTCTCCTACGACTGAGTCTTTCTGTTTGTTATCTCTGAGTGTCACATATCCATTGGTCACCCAGCTTATGCCATGGCTGTTCACTGTGTTTCCGAGAGTGTCTGTGCTCCAAATGCCCATGCGGACTCCTCCACCGTGCACACTGCACGTTCCCATTTTGGTACCTGCCCATTTGAGGGAAGAAGTTCTCCTGGCCTGTAAACTTCCACTGGAAGAGTACTGAGTTTTCTCATTACTTTCTGCATTGCTGCTGCTAAAGGAGCCATTGGTGACTATGCCGCTGCCTTTATTAAAGGCAGGATTTTTTTTAACTGTGAGAGCAGGACTCCTGGAGACATCAAATTTGTGTATGCTATTTGGTGGGCTGTTGGCCGTGGCCATTGGCAGAGTAATGAGGGACCCATTGTCCGTGCTGATTCTCTGAGGAGACTCAAGCTTATCCCAAGAGCACCTTATGCTTTCTGTGTCTTTGCTATTATTGTTCTCTTTCTTATGTAGCTGGTCAGTCATTGATTTCTTCTGAATTTTATTGTTATTGTTGCCCACGACCTCTGGTTGCTTGGTCTGAAGCTCTACATCTTTGTATTTGGGGAAGAGCTGCTTGCGTTTGTCAATCATTACTGACATCAACTGTTGGACTACGGCAGTGCCTGAAAGAAAATCACAAATGAGCTCCTATGAGTAAAATAGCTTAGAATGAGTAATTAGCCTTTTTGATGTTGAGTGTCATTCACTCACTGTTGAAATTATGAAGCCCAGGAACTCAGTTGTTAAAGAAAAGGAGAAAGCAGTTATCCAGACAGATTCGGGAGCCATGTTCACTTTGATATTTGAATGGGGGTCAATGTCTCAACATTTCAAGACCGAAACAGGGGCAGCTAGGTGGCGTGGTGGATAGTACACCGGCCCTGAAGTCAGGAAGACCTGAGTTCAAATCCGGCCTTAGACCAAACACTTGACGCTTACTAGCTGTGTGACCTTGGGCAAGTCACTTAACCTCGACTGCCTCACTTAAAAAAAAAAAAAAAAAGACTGAAACAAAATGGATGTCCATAGATCGGGGAATGGCTAGATGAATGGAAGTGCATGAGTATAATGGCACATTGTTGTCCTGTAAGACATACAGAGAAGCATGGAAAATCCATGGATGCCATAGGAAATAAGTAAAGCCAGGGAATGATATGCAAAAGGACAAGAGGAATGTAACTGCAAAGAACAACCAAAAAACCACTGGAAATGAATGTTGCCAAATTAGAAAAGGCTTGTTTTTTTGTTTGTTTGTTTTTTATAGAGACAGGAGAAAGTAACCCACCCCTCACCCCCACCCCCTGTTCCTCAATCCTCCACAAAGGTGCAGAACACTGACTGTAAAGTCAGGCTTGGCTTTTTTCCCCCCCATGTACTGATTAGTTTTTTCTGATTGTTTTCCCTTCCCTTCTTCCTCTTTTTCCTTTCTTTTTCTTTTAAAAAAAATTGTTTGTTATAAAGGAAGGCTCCCTAGGAAGGGGATTAGGGAGGGATATAGGTAGAAATTTAGGCTTCTTTTGAATAAAGAGTCCTGATATTTTTGAAAGAAAGGCTATCTCCATCTTAATAAATTTGTCCCATTAAGGAATAATCAAAACAAACATGCTAAGTGCAGATCTTGCTTCTGTATAGGAATTCACTTCATAGACTTGATTTTTTGAAATAGATTTTTATTAGTATCTTATACCATGCAATGCATAGGACATCTGAGATGTTCCCACATACTTTAAATAATGTTAAATATACCAAAAAAAAGGTCTTAATTGAATACAATATATACGTAGTTTAAAAATGATGAGTTATATGAACTGATGGAGAGTTTATCAGCTGGCCTGGGTTATTTCAGACAGATTTGGAGACTGAAGAGGTACCATCTCATACCAGTTTGGTGGCTTGATTGGGCCATATAGGCCAATTTTGAGGGTCCTGGTTTAAGGGTCCACCGTGGCCAAACTTAAGGCCATTCCCAGTCAACTTTAGGCAGGTTTGGGGACCAGCCCTGACCTTCTACAGGCAGGCTCAAAGTACCCACACTCAGAGTTAACTTCGGCAGGCTCCAGGGGAAAGCCCAGGCCATCTCAGCCTCAACAGCCTGTGCTGGGCTAACTCAGGAGGTCATAGTTTGAAATAAATATTAAAAGTCTCTGACTAAAGGAATCTCTAGAGATGGCCAAAATCAAGTAATCTGTGAAACAAAGGACAAGAGGGAGTCAAGCTAGAGGACTCCAAACAACTTTTCTTTTAGACAAGGCACAGAAACCATGCCAGAATATTGAGATGTAGATTGGGTTCTCCCTCAGGATTGGGGGTGCCCTAGCCCAGGACACTGCAGGTAAAATAGGACTGTTTTAGAAAGAGAAGGAGAAGAAAGCCAAGGCTAGACCTTGCCTGGAAAATATCCAAAGTTAGCACCTTCAAAGTCTGACCAAGAAGAGCCAGACTGAAAGTCCACATGCTGAGATATTTCTATATCTCCAAGATATAGAAATCAGGAGAGCATTTACAGGGCAAGGTAGCTCCAACACCAGAATCATGCTGCCATGTTCAATAAGGAACATCAGAGGACTCACTGTTAATATTCCCCAACGCACACACCATGAAGAAAGGGACTACAGTGATCTCAACCCTATGCTCCCTCCCCACTCCATATCCAAACTATTTCCAAATCTTACCAGTTTTACCTTGGTAACATCTCTCGGTTACACTACCGCCTTCACTCCTCTGATAATACCATTCCTCCAGCTACAGGCTCTCATCATCTCACACTATTGCAGTGGCTGGCTGATTGGTCTCCCTGCCTCATCTCTACCTTCATTCCAGTCCATCCTTCATTTAATTTCAAATTTATCTTCTTAAAAAGCAGATCAGACCCTGTCACCCATGTTTCTGATTCAACAAACTCCTGGATTCCCTATCACTTCCAGGATCAAATATAAAATCCTTGAAATTCAAAGGCTTTAACCATATTCTAGTCTTCTTCCAACTTGCTCTCCTCTGTGTACCACGTGATCCAGTGACTCTGGCCTCCATGCTCATCCTCTCACAAGACACTCCATCTCCCAACTCCAGGTACTTTCACTGGCTGTCCTCGAGGCAGGAAATTCTCTCTCCTCACTCCTGCCTCTTGGTTTCCCCGGCTTCCTTCAGAAAACCCTAGCTAAAATCCCACCTTCTCTGAGAAGCTTTTTCTGATTCCACTTAATGTAAGTCCCTTCACTCTACTGATTTTTCCAGTTTATCTTTTCTATTCTCTTATCTGTACATAGTTGTTTTCATGTTGTCTCCTCTATTAGACTGTGAGCTCTCTGAGAGCAGAGATTTTTTTTATTTTAATTTTTTTTGCCTTTTTTATAGCCTTAGTACTTAGTATAACACATCCTAGGTGCTTAGTAAATGCTTATTGATCCACTGACTAATTGAGATTCCAAATTTTATGTATAATCTTCTCATCATATTCTATAATGTGTATGGTAACAATTGTTTTATTTGGTGTTTATCTGGTGTTTATTTGGTAAAATTTGTAATTTTTTTAAAAGTTAAAAAAAGAAAGATGGAACATGGCAGTCTACTGCATTGAAGTTCCATTAAAAATCCTTGTTAACTATAGTGGAAACATAAAAAAAAAAAACAAAAAAAAACACCCCATGGGGGCAACTAGATGGCGTAACGGATATAGCACCGGCCACTTACTAGCTAGCTGTGTGACCCTGGGCAAGTCACTTAACCCCCCCCATAGCCTCAAAAAAACAAAAAACAACAAAAAACAAAAACACGCCTCCTTTTAGCTTTTACAAAACTATTATGAAATACTATTTCTCCAATCTAAAACACTTTCTGTGCTTTTTCATTTAGGGAAGTGGGAAGAACAAAAGCTAAGGTCTTCCTTTGAAATGAAGGGTGACAGCCAAACAACTCTTGTCTAGAACTCTAGATAACATCATTGCTTCCCTATCCACCGGAAGTGATTGACTCATGGCCCCACCTAAGAAAGTGTCCTCTTTTGCATTCAGAGTTAAAATGTGGATCACAGGATGGTACTTTTTTTCAGTCCTTCAGGGGAGTGCTCCAGAAAGGAAGTGAGTAGCTAAGAAATATTAACAACAAAGTGTATTTTGACACATGATATTTTCCTTGTCCAAGATTTTTATAGATGTTACCTAAAATTTTCTAGGAGCAGAGTGTCATGTTAGAGGCATGGGGGTCATCTGTCTCTCTAAGCTAGAAATGGCTTGGATTCATGTTAAATTTCATATAGTTTCTAGAAGACTTGAGCCTAAGTCAGAGTCATTATTGATTGATTTTTTTTTCTTTTGCTGCTATCTAGACAGAAACTCCTTTTCCTGGTCACTCTTTCCCTTCATCTGTTGTATTCCCTATTAATCTATGAGATCTTTAAGATCAGAGTCAGCTGAAATGGTACATCTAGCATTTGCAGCACCTGGCATTATCCTTTGAAAACAGTAAGCACTTAATAAACGTTTGCTGAATGATCAGTTGGTTTACTCTACCCTAATGAGGCCACATCTGGAATACATTACAAAAAGAACCAAGACAAGGTAGGACAGCATTAAGAGGAAGGTAAAGAAGTTGGTGGGAAGAGTGGAGACCACACAACATGAGAATCAGTTGAAGAAACCGGGATGTCTAGTGCGAATAAGGCTGTGGGGTCCAGAATTGTCTAATCTACAAGAAAAACCACCGAGGCAGAGCTGTGAGCCAACAACCATTTATTAAAGGGACCATTCCCCCTTCAATGAATGGAACCTCGGATCTTCCTCAGGATCTGAGCTGCCCCCTGTCCCCAAGGCCTTTCTTAGGGCTTGATGCTCAGACACACAGAAGAGGCAAAGTAAAACACAGAGTCATATTGGTTTATAGACCTTGCTCATGACCCTCCAGGGGGGCCAGAAATGATGCATCAGCATGGGTGGTCACAGGATGGGGAAGGCAAGGGTCATCCCCACTGACTAAGTCGTCATAAGATGAGCGCCTCCTCATGCTGGGCAAGTGGATGGTCCCGAGATATGAAAATAAACTGGGGGACTTTCCATATCATGTCAAGACACTCCACCCTCAACACCAAAAAGGGTAAAGATTCTCTAGTCAGCATTCTTGTGGTTAAGCAAATAAATCTTCTAACAGGTTAGTGAACAATGAACAGTAAACTTGTTTTTAGCTTGTACTTTAAAGCTTGAGACCTATTATAAGAAAGAATCTATCTTATTTAATTATCCCTAGATATTATAGAGGTAAAATATGTATCAATATATGTAATTCTTCTGCTAATGTTATTTAACTAGACTGACTAAATGTATTTTACTAGATGAGTAGATCACTAATAATTGTAACAATCATCACCTCTATGGGATCACACTGAAGTGATTAATACTGGTTGGGATAAAATAGGGATCTAATCAATCATTCCTCTGAAGGCCTACCAAGAGGCTGACAGCTCTCCTCAAGAAGCTGAAGGGCAAAATGAGAAGAGGGGCCATACTTGTTCTGATTGGCTCCAGAGGGCAGAACTAAAAATAAGGAACAGAAGTTAGAGAGATTTAGTATATGGAAAGACCAAAAGATGAGATCACAGTAGGAGGGAAAGCTTCCTAACAATTAGAGATCTCCAAAACAGAATGGGCTACCCTGGGAGACAGTAATCTATCCTCACTTCAAATCATCAAGAGGAGGCGGGATGACCAGTGTTGAGGATTCTGTAGAAGGTGTTTTCTTTTAGGCAGCCAGGCAATGGAGTAGATAGAGAGCTGGATTTGGGATGAGGAAAACCTGATTTTAAAACAAGGCTTAGACATTTACTAGCTGGGTGACCTTGGGCAGGTCACTTCACTGCTGTCTGCCTCAGTTTCCTCATCTGTAAAATGGGGATAATAAGAGAACCTACCACCTAGGAATAGTATAAGCATCAAGTGAGATACCTGGAAAGCACTTAGCAAACCTTAAAGCCTTATATAAATGCTAGTTATCATTATTATTCAATTATAAGACATCATCTGATATCCTTTTGAACAATGAGATTGTAGTTTTCTATAAAATATGGTATACCAAATTTTTTAATTGCCTAACTCCCAAAGAATATTTTTTCCACATAACAAACCAGAGTCAATACATGCAATGACTTTGGATTCCTTCACAACTGAAAATTATACAGGACAAAACTTATCCAGAATACCGAGAAAATGTTTGTCCAAAGCTGTTTCTTGCTTTAGAAATTGGTGGGATGTATCTTCTACTCACCCTCCATAATGGTCTGAGGGTCTTCTATTTTGGGACGTAGGATACTGGAACCAAAGACAGTGGCCAAGTTCTGCATACTGGTTTTGTTAGCACTTGAGTAGGACTGGACTTCATTTAAGAAGCTGTTTGATGTCAGAAAAGAAGCAGAATACAGAGGGATTGACGTCAGTGGAAGATCATGGGATCATGAGACAAATACCCATTACCTCAGGCCATTCTCGATTTTCCACGTTATTCATGGATGAAGCACTAGGTGGAGTATAGCACTGTGTGATGAATGAGTTAACAGACTTATTGGAAAATTTAAATATATAGTGCCAGGCTATGACTGGACTAGCTTGATGAGGTCATCCCGACCCGCTTAGCCAACCGGGCTCGGTAGTTTGGCACAGAGACAGAAAGATCAGACCTTCATTAAGCCACATTTGTGACATATACTGACTCTGTGGGAAAGTCACAATTTCTCTGTACCCCAGAAGACTCTTGAAGTCTAGAAACTCCAGGGCAATTCCAACATGCAATGGCAGAAAGCCTTTCCTCTCCAAGAGCACCCTCCTCTAGAGAAAATAACAGATCCAGTCCAAAACAAAACAACGAAGCAAACACAAACAAACCAGTGACCCCGCTCCCCTCCAAGCCCCCACCTGTCCACCTGTGAAGTAGCCAGGGGTAAAATCTTTGCCATTTGTCCTTCTGGTTGCAGATGTTTGGGGTTTTTTCCCCCATTACATCTTTCATCTACTCCCTTCCTCTCTTACGTTCCAAACGGTCTTTAGTTATGCAAAAGCTCTAAGCAATTATTTTGCCCTTGGTGACGTGTGAAGAAGGTGCACTGAGCTGATGTTAGATAAAATAGACGTGAAGTATAAATACATTTGGATTTTAGAAAATGTGTCCATTTTCACGTATTTGCTACTGCTTAGGGGAAGCCATTAATATATATATAGCAAACCTAACGCCAGACTAAAGTTGAAAGTAATAACTCTTTCTCCAAAAGCAGAGGTTAAAAGTCAGCTTAAATCTATTTATGGGCAGCTAGGTGGTACAATGGATAGACCACAGGGCTGGGAATCAGGAAGACTCATCTTTCTGAGTTCAAATCTGGCCTCAGATACTCACTAGCTGTGTGACCTTAGGCAAGTCACTTAACCCTGTATGCCTCAGTTTTTTGTCTGTAAAATAGGCTGAAGAAGGAAATGGCAAACCACTCTGGTAAGTTTGCCAAGAAAACTCCAAATGAGATCTCAAAGAGTTGGATGTGACTGAAAAGATTCAACAACAATAATTAAATCTATTTAACAATAACAAAAAAGGGTAAAACAAGATTCTTCTGCTGGAAAGATAAAGAATCTTTGCTTTTACTTATTCATAAAAGTCATAGCATTGATTGCATATTGCACAGATGTTTCCATTAATCTGATATTTTAGTAACAAAAGATGTATAGTTAAGATATACTTATGCAATGAATATAAAGAGCTTGGGATATTATTATTTACGGAATTTCCTATTCCTAAATTTAAGATACAATCTACATATTTGCTGCTACCAGTAATGAAATATTATGATTATGGATATCCATGGTAAATCCTACTCTCCTACATCTGATCATCAAGCCATACTCTCAGCTCCTCTTCATGTATTTTAGTCTACAATGCAATTGCCTTTTTTTTTTTTACACAAGTGACATGTTTCTGAAAAATAAAAAAAAAACTTTAATTTTTTTAAACTAAATTATAGTTTTAAAAAATGTGATAGGAAGATATTATTTAAGAAAAGGGGCAGCTAGGTGGCGCAGTGGATAGAGCACTGGCCCTGAAGTCAGGAGGACCTGAATTCAAATCCGGCCTCAGACCAAATACTTGACGCATACTAGCTGTGTAACTTTGGGCAAGTCACTTAACCCCGAATGCCTCACTAAAAAAAAAAAGAAAAGAAAATACTCCAGTGAAGTGTTTTTTCACTTCCTTTGAGGTAGGGATTGAACCCCAAGGAGGTCTAATTCCTGACACCAAGAGCATTTGAGAGTAAGTTTGACTGAAGCCAGGAGGCAGGACTAGAGTGGAGGGATACACCCGGCAAACCAAAAACAGGTTTCCTAGGTGAGCTCAGGGAAGACAGAAACCTCCCATGGAACAGAAGCATAAAAGTTTGCTGGATTTTGATTTTTTACTATGAATACAGATCACGAAAGTAGGGCCTAATGATCTTTCCGACCTTTGGGCTATTAAGCAGAAGAAATCGGAAAAGTTATCACAAGACTAACTGGTTTTTGGTGGCTAATGATGTCTGTTCTTCCTTTCAGAAACAAAATTCATCAAGCCCTGGATTGTTGACCCACTAATAGGGATATGAGCTAGGTTTAAATTTAGACCATTATGAGGTTCATTAGTTTTACCCAACTGATAATGGATCCTTCCCATAGTAATCCTGTTCTGTACAAGAGGAACCATAGGTGCAGACATCTGGTGTGTGTACTTGGCTAGGGGACTCACAGGGCAAAGCAACCATCCGTGGGTTAGGAATAGGAACAGGAAGAGCAAATAAAAGAAATATGGAAGCTGGAAGGGACTTTAGGGAACATCTAATCCAATCTCCTTATTTTACAGATGAGCCAACTGAAAGTTCTCAGAGGCCAAGTGACTTACTCAAGTTCACACAGTACATTAATGACAGGGCTGACAAAGTAAATTAGTGACCAGGCTAATGATTATTACCTTTTTTTTTAAAGTTTTTACCTGCATATGTACTTGAGGAGATTATAATTAACCACTGGCAAATTTTTCACCTGCTTCGCTAGTTCCTTAACTCCCTGTGTAAGAAAGAAAAAGGAGATAAATGATCTATTTTTCCAGAAAAAAAAAACTATATTAAAGTACATGAGGAATAAGTATACTCTCTTTTTATTCCATTTCCAGAAGGATCCATTTTGGAAAAAAAAAATGGGTATTACTATAGACATTACTGTAGATGAAACATTGGCTTCAGACGAGTTCAGAAAGAATAAAGACAAACTAAGATAAACTCAACATGGAGGGGGAAAGATGCATTGAGGAAATGAGTAGACTGCATGTCACCACCTTACAGAAACCAGTGCAGTTGAACTGACTAGCAAGCATGTTCTGTGAGTAATAATCCCAGAAAGGTTGACAGTCAGTCTATCTTCCCCTCTGAGGTCACCTTCATAGAATCAGAGATAAGTCTATGTTAGTCTGGATCATTCTATGGTTGCTACAGAGCAGGTTTGGGGTTTTTCGGTTTGTTTTTGTTTTTTTTGTTTTTTTTGTTTTTTTGGAAAGAGGGAGCTATAGAGAGTTCATGGAGGCACTCCATGCCACTGTGGTTCTGGTGGTGGCTTTTTCTGTGTTGTGTGTATGAAAGTGCCCTTTTGCTTCTAGGGCTTTGAGTAGTTCATTTACATATGAAAAGTCCAGCAAAGATGATGAATTTGCCCCCAGGGCAGAGACTTCCATACTTTTTTTCTAGTTATCATTGATATAGCCCAACAAAACACTTTTAAAAAACTAAAACAAAAATTAAGGAGCCCTGAACTCCAGAGACGTTTGGATATTATTGTACAAATGGCTCATGCTTGTTTATGGCTTAGCCTGCAAAGAGGAAGAAGACTGATCTTCTTGGCCTCTGATACTTACTAGTTGTGTGACCCTGGGCAAAGCACTTAACTTTTTTACCTCGGTTTCCTCCACTTGTAAAACGAGCTGGAGAAGAAAATGGCAAACCACTCCAATATCTTTACCAAGAAAACCCCAAATGAGGTCACTAAGAGTTGGACATGACTAATCAACTAAACAACATTTCTTTGCGAGGTACCACCCTCTTTCCAGTTACCTAAGTTTTTAATCTTGGGGTTGTCCTCAACTCTTCACTCTCATGTATCCTGATGTGGTTAAGGGTTGCTGGGAACCCCAGTGATGCAGTTTGGGGTTGCTGGGAACCCCAAAATGTCAGAGTATAGGGCAGCTTCTGCTAGAAAGAATTCCTGCATTCAAACCATCTTCCAGTCAAAGTGGTGAGGGTTATTGTAATGCCAATAGAAGCAGGGTAGATTCCTAGTGAATCTGCAACTTAATGGGGGTGAGACTAGGTTTCCTTACTACTTGAGAAAGTGTGATAGGGGGATATGGATTACACTTCTTCCTGCTACTCTATCATCTTGACTCCCTTAAGAGTGAGACTATAACAAGCCAAAAAGTGATACCAATATTTTGGATTGGTCCCTGAGATCAGACTCAACCCACAGGAGCCCAGAATTTAGGGATCTTGGGTCACAGATTATTATACTAATGCACAGAGATGTATAAGAACAACTTAAAAAGAATCCAAAGGGCAGATTACAAAGTAAAGGCAAAAAACACTGATGTAAAACCCAAGCACACGTATACTTAGAATTACTATTAAACTTACCATTTCTTCTTCTTTACTGAGTAAATTGGCACAGGACAGAAAGTCTTCATACTTTGCATAGGGAATGATTGGTTCTGGAAGTTCTTGGAGAAATAATTGAAGAAGTGAAGCCACGGTGTGTACATCTGTGTTACTGGAGGGACAGAACATTAAAGATACTTTTCAGTGAAGTGATGCACTCTTTACTGGGCCTTTGGCCTACTAAAATTGCAGTGTAAACACATAGATTAATTGAAAAGATCCACAAATAGACCTACAGAGATGAAAATTAAATAAGATGGATTCCTTAGAAAGCCCACAAAAAGGGCTTATGAATACTTATTGATAATGAAAATGTTATTTAACAAAGATGAATTTATTAAGGTCAAAAATTACCATTTCATAGATTCTAAGCATTATCTCATATAGTAGAGCATTGAGCTGAGTTCAGCTAGTCAGTCAACCAGTCAACTAGTATTTATTAAGTACCTATTATGTGCCAGGCACTGTGCTCAGTACTGGGAATACATAAGAAAAGCAGTCCTTCATCTCACGGAGTTCACAGTCTAATGGGTGAGACAATATGCAAACAACTACAAACAAAATACATATAGAATAAAGTGGGGGTAGTCTCAGAGGGAAGACATTAAGAATAAAGGGGACTGGAAAGGCTTCTTGCAAAAGATAGGACTTTAGCTAAGACTTGAAGAAAGCCAGGGAAGCTAGAAGGCAGAAATGAGGAGGGAGAGAGTTCCGAGCATGGGGGACAACCAGTGAAAATACCCACAGCCAGAAGATAAAGTGTCATGTTCAAGGAAGAGCAAGGAAGGCAGTGCCATTGGATCACAGAATATGTGGAGGGAAGTGGGGTGTAGGAAGAGGCCAGGTTATAAAGGACTTTTAAAGCCAAACAAGATTTGATTTTGAAGGTAATAGGGAGCCAATAGAGTTTACTGAACAAGGGAGAGGGGTGACATGATCAAATTTGTCCTTTAGGAAAATCAGTTAGATAGATGAATGGAGAATTGATTGGAGTGGGGAGAGACTTGAGGCAGGAAAACCAACTAGCAGTCCATTGCAATAGTCCAGGTATGAGGTAATGAGGGCTTGCTGAAAGTGGTGGCATAGTCAGAGGATAGAAGGGTGTTGTATAGGAGAGATGTTAGGAAAGTAGAAATGATGGGACGTAGCAACTGACTGGATATGGGATGTGAAGGGGAGAGAGAGGAGTTGAGGATGATCCTTAAGTTACAAGCCGAAGTAAGTGGGAATATGGTGGCATCCTCAACAGCAATAGGGAAATTAAGAAGAGGGAAGAGTTGGGGTTGTGGGGAGAGAGAGATAATGAGTTCAGTTTGGGACACAGTGAGTTTAAGATGTCTACAGGACACTAAGTTCGAGATGTCTAACAGATAGTTGGAAATGCTAGACGGAAGGTGAGGAGAGAGTTTAGGGCTGAGTAAGTAGATTGGAGGGTTGTCTGCATAGGGATAATCATTGAAACCATGGTGGTTGATCAGATCACCATGTGAAATGATATAAAGGGAGAAAAGACAAGGGCCCAGGACAGAGCCTGGGGAACACTTACAGTGAAGGGGAATGATATGGATGAAGATCCAGCAAAGGAAATATAGAAGGAGGGGTCAGATAGGTAGGAAGACAAAGAGAAGAGAGTAGTGTCACAAAAACTGAGAGAGAACAGTCTATTGGACCGGAGTTTATGTTCTTGTATGCACGTTTTGGTAAATGTATCGGAGAGGAAGGAAAGATTCAAGAAGATTGAGTCTGTAAAGAAACTTATAATGTGACTGATAGGAAAAGAGGAAGGTGGAGGGTAATAAGCATTTATCAAGTGCCTACTATGTGCCAGGCATGGTGCTAAGTACTTTTACAGGTATTATCTCATTTGATCTTCACAACAACCGTGTAAGGTTTGTGCTATTATAATCCTCATTTTACGGTTGAAGAAATTTAGGCAAATAAAGGTTAAGTGACTTCCTCTTGGTCATACAGTTTAGTATGTTGAGGCCCATTATTTATTTATTTCAGTTCTTTTCTGGGCTGAGGTTGTAGCTGGATGATAAAGCTTTCTTGAGTCTCTTTCTCAGCTGAAAAATGTATGGGCTGTGGGTGTTTGTTTGCTGGGCTCTTACCTAAACATCAGCAAATAGAGTGTAAAGCCAGTGGCATAAACACTGGTAGAATTGTATGCATGGAAAAAAAAAAAGCTTAAGTTAGAATTGTATGCATGGACGAGGAAAGCCACATGTTAACTAGTAAGAATTTTCAGTATGTGGCTGAAAAATTCAGGTTCTAGGTCTCCTTGATGGGAAAAGAGGGGAGGTGTTGTTCTAGATTTCTTAATGCCTAAGACTAATATTTATAAGTTCTCTCAAGGTATCTGTCTTGATCTAAATGGATCCTGGCAGGAAGTCCATGTACCTAGAAATGCTTCTCCCATGACATTTTGGCAATTATGGAAGATTTCCGCTTCCTGGGAGGATATGCCTGTGTAGTGCTTATCAAGTTATCACCAATATATGACACGTTCATGCTATCTCTTCCAAGAGATAAAAAGTCAAGGCAGACAGTGTAACATGTTTGTTGATTCTTCAAATATACAGTGCAAGTTGGCACTACTTTTCTTTGTACACAGTGGGCACAAATCTCACTTTTCTTCATGATATCTGTGGCCACCGAGGGCCAGTAACAGTGAAACCTTCTTCGCTCTAGGGTCTTGTCTTGACTAACACATCCAAAGTCATGTAAAGTTTTCATGACCATAGAGCTATATGCCGCAGGTAATACCAGCTGCTTCTTGGAACCACTGGTGGGATCAGGGACAGTGTAGCATAGTACTTCATTGCACAGTTTTAATTTTGACATCTCTCTCTATAATAAAGTGACTTTAAGGGACTAAAACTTGAGTCCTTTAAAATTTGCTGTTTTACTTCTTATCTTACAGTACTTCTCACAGTTGTTTGTTGGCTATCTTTTCTCTTCATCCACAGGCAACTGAGGTAAAGAGGGTTGGCTCCATGACGCAAGGCTCACAAATTCTGTTGGCTTGTTCTGTGGTGGAAATCCCAAACTTTCAGCCATCTGTATTCCACTTTCTTGGCTATTACATACAGCTTTCATTTCTTCTTTGGGTATTACTACAGTTTCGGTGCTAAGTACCTTCTTGACAAGGTGTCTGAATCACCACTGGTCTTCCCTACCTGATAACGTAGCTGAACGTGAAGCTGGCTAGTTCTACACCCATCTCTGGCAAACAGTGTCTAACTCGGACTGGTCGGAATACGTCGGTGGAGTATTGTCGGTCCAAACTTAAAACTTTTCTCCATAAAGTCTTTGAATTTCTCAGTGATTGAACATTTTGTGAGGAACTCCAGCTTTTGTGAAGAGATAACAGATGTTGTCAGTCAGGTCTCTGTTAGCAAATGCAGCTAGGACCATCATGCTCTTGGTACAGGGTTTCTCTTGATCTTTCCCAACTAGCCATTGGTAGCTGGTGATAGCCATTGCACAGGTCCAGGCAGGACACTATGGACAATACAAGGCACTTGGTGCCCTGATTCTTTTATTTAAGGCAGAGGTGTCAAACACATCACTCATAGGCCATATGTGGCCTAGAATAATCCTGAGTGCAGCTAAAACCAGATTAAAATGTAATTGTAAAATTATTTAACAAAACAAATAAAAATACAATAAAACATAGATAATACTATATTTTAAAACTAAGTCAATATGCACCCCTGTGGGGGTCCTTATATATGGATTATTGGCCCCCATTTCTGGGTATGACACCACTGGTTTAAGGTGCAGTAGTGAATACACATATATATCTTTCTATTCTTCTTTGGTACCATCATTATGGGTGATGCATATGGGCTGTTTGGCTCTGTGATGACTTGATATGTTCTCCGAGATCATTCATCACAGATACAGACATTTTTCTAGATCTTTCGTGGCACAGCCAGGAGTAGGTGAGCTTGGGCACATCTCACATCCCACTTATGTAGTCAGATCACATTTGTCCTCTAGCTAAGCTTCTGTCTCAACCACTCTTTCCTCTCTTCTAGTATAGCTGAATCCCTAATATCAAAGTTCTCTGGATTAACTTCAGAGGTGGAAAGGCCGGGGCTCTTAGGCTGTTCCTGTGACAACGTGAGTCAAGATATTAGGGATTCAGCTATTGGTAGACCAACTCTGGTAATTCACAGGCAACATCCACAGGGTATCTCTAGCCCTCACTCCTTTGAATAATACATACTTTAAAAGAAAACCCACTCTCCTAATTCTCTTATTCTGCTCCTCATGAAGTTTATAAGATCCTTCTTATTACAAACAGGCTTTCTCCCACAAAGCAGTAGTTCCTTGTGAATACTGATTTCCATAAATTAGCAATATTTTTAAAATATTATATTCTTATCCTCATAATATTGCTCCATAGTGCCAATATATACCCAACTACCAATACCACAATTGACCAAACAATTTTATAAATTCCAGAAATTCACATTAGAAGCAGTGATAACAATACAATTACAAGTAGTTATAACAATCATAAAATGGTATTCTCTTAGGCATGGATCAGAACTAAGATTTTTATAATAAAAATGCTTAAAATACAATACTTAAGCAATAATGCTGGAAATCCTGCTTAAAGGAAGCTAAATAAAACAAACAAAATAACAACAAAATAAAATTTAAAATTAGCCCAACATTTAAACTCCCAAACAGAAATAAAGAAAGAAAAAAAAAATCCTGGATGAGCCTATACTTGTAACACTCTATAAAATAATTTGCTTGTTTTAAGCCTAGGGACAATATAATGACCCCTAAGGTCTATAAGGTCTTCTGTGTAACTTTAGGTAGTTTATTTTAGAAAAAAAAAAGGTGTAGGTAAAATCAAAATTATTTCAAAGGCCTAGGGAGGAAAATTCCCAACATTTAGGCAGAGGTTTGATTTCGGTCTGATTTACATTTATATCTGTCTCTGTTTATACCTATCAGTGTCCTGGCCACTCTATGGTTCAGATTGCCAAAAATGTGTGGGTAATGAAGCAAAAGATTATATAGATGTGTCTATGGACAGACAGGAGAAGCTGGGGAAAGAACAGACTTTTTCTTGGAACTTCTCTCAGTCCTTGAATAGGTGGGTGTAACTGGTGGTGTCTACCCTGGTCTTCTGATCTGAGATGCCTCAACAGCTGATAAATCTCCCCTGCCTCAGCCTGGTCCTACATTCTCTTTCTCCTTCCACTGTTTGCCTGTGAGTTACTGGTTCTTTCTCAGCTCAGTATGACCTCCATTCTCTTCCCTTTCTGCTTCTAGACCCTCAGAACCTCTATGTGATTCTCAAGTCTCCCATATAGTCGTTTTCATTGTTTCAGAGAGGCTCTGTTCACATTCAGTTCTAATTAAGTGCTTTAAACAGTAAGTATTCTTACCTAACAAAAGTTACCTTTTTTTTTTTTTGAGGCAATCGCAGTTAAGTGACTTGCCCAGGGTCACACAGCTAGTAAGTAGCTGAGGCTGGATTTGAACTCAGGTCCTCCTGACTCCAGGGCCAGTGCTCTATCCACTGTATTACCTACACAAAAGTTACCTTTACGAGGGATGGGATAATCAAGTACCTCAACCTTGTACCTAAACTTTGGTCAGTTTTTGCCTCTTTACCAATCTTGTGAATTTTGGGGTAGAACAATGAAGTAGAATCTAGATCATTATCTGGGCCTAGCTTGTTCTCTTTTAAACTTTCTTCAGTTTCTCCAGATTCTGCCCCCTGCCCTCCATTCAACCTCAATTTACTTTGCTAGGGCAAGACCCTCCAAGTTTTCTACCCAGTTTGTCTCCTTTTTCAACGTAAGTTCTTCGCTTCTGCTCCTTCTCTCACTGGAAGAAGTTGTCTCTCCCTTTAGATTTGATTGAATGACTAAGTAGCCACTTCTCTCATCACCACTGCTGTTATGGGGATCAAGGAATCAATAAGTGATGGCTTTATCATTTCAAATGAGAAGTCTTTCAATGCTGAGGCAGAACACAGAAGTGTCCCAAATTCTACCAGATCAGGGGATGATAGAAAGAGCTCATCCATCATTACACACACCAACACATACACACACAGAAAAACAAATATATGTGTGCACATATACACACATATGTATATAAATATATGCATATACACACATACACATAGATAGATAGGTAGATAGACAGATAGATATATAAATACCAAAGTAGCCTAGAAGAGGAAAGAAGTAAGAAAGAGAGTGCATGGAATTATTATAAAGGAGTATCACAGAAAAATGTCACTCAAATGAAGAGATAGTGTGGGAAGGAAGACTGTTGGTGTGTGTGTGTGTGTGTGTGTGTGTGTGTGTGTGTGTGTGTGACTGCTACTGCATATGTATGTACAATCGATGGGGATTGTATCTGAGCTCCTAAAAGGAAAAGACCATGTCTTTGGGATCTGGACCCCCAAAAGGAAAAACCCTGGACTTTCCCACATGGCCAAATCTCTGGTGTTCACCCGAGGCTATAATCCTATCAATTGGCCTTTCATTATCACCTATACCCAACCTACCAATTCTCTGTTACCCTTAACCTGGCCTAGCCCTCCATTGCCTATTATGCCAGATAGCCCCGGATACTTGCCACCCTTGATCCTCTGTAGACCCCATTCTCGACCTCCCAGTCATTCCCATCAAGATCCTCCCTAGACCCCTCCTCCAGTCACCTCAGTCTACTGGCCACTCCCATCAAGATACCCCTTCTCCTAAACCCCTCTTCCAGTTACCCCAAACTACTTGACCACTCCTGCATCCCTCCCACAGTCTTTCTGTACATAAGGTCCATCTTGCCTCCATTAAGATGCCCAAATTCTTATAATCTAACCAAGGCACAGATTCTTTAAGAGTCTAGGCAAGGGCTTAGATTCTTAAAATCTTGCCTGCTCGCATTAGTGATACAAATGCTTAGATTTCTTAAGAGTCTGGCCAATATGGCTGATCTTTAATCAGCCTTGTCTTTGGCTGAAAGAAGTCTTGGGTCGAATTCATTGAGGCAGGACTGGTGTCTCTTGCTCTCGATATTTCGGGGTCCCAGCACCCCTAAACCTCTAAATCTCAACACAGTGAGTTGGACCCAAAATTGGATGGGAGGAAAGTGAGTTTGTGTTGTCTTTGGGAAGTTGCATTTTATGATCCCAAGCTTTTTCCTGAAATGAAGACCCATCTTTTTCTACCAAGTTGATAACATTAGAGAATCTCCCTTCAATTCCTCAAGCAAGGGTATTCCTAGCATCCTAAGGGGAAAACAAGATGAGATTTTTTAAAAATACAATGAGTCTTTTCTTACTCTTCAAGCAAATTAAATCCTGACTCATCTGCTAGGTGTTTTCATGCTACATGGACTTGGTAGCATTTATTAAGTTTCTTTTGCTTGGTGAATGTACACATCAAATGTCCCCTTTGGTTCTGATCTCACTTGCCTTAGTAAGGAACTGCATCCCTCCCTCGTCTTTAAACTTGTTTGTAGTTAGTTGTTATTGTGTGGTTTCCCATACTAGACCGTAAGCTACTTGAGAACAGGAACTGTTTTTTGCCTTTCTTTGTATCCTCAACACTTAGCACAGTGCCTGGCATATAGTAAGTGCTTAATAAATGTTGGTGACTTTTTTTGTACATACCCGTCAAAAGACGGCTTCTCTCCACAGTCAAAGGCATCCCGCAGCTCTTTCACAAGGTTAGCCTGGCCTGAGAGTCGAAATAGACCTTCTTTCTTTAGCCCCCACCGTCGGATAAAATCTACACATTGTTCCACTAACATGGGGGCCAGGAAGTTCCCATATCTCTTCTCAAAGCAGACTGTTTCTTCCAATTTCTGTCCAAAAATACCTTGAAGGGAACAAAAACAAATATTTCTGGCTTTAGGGAAAATAGCTCTGTTTATTCATCTGAATGTTAACACATGAGAAGGAAATTAACTGTAAGCAGCACTTCATTTGTCTATATTATCCCAAAGGACTGTTTATAAGCATTTTCAAAGAGATCATCATCATTCATCATTTTTCTCTATTTTTCTAAGTGGATCCTCAACAATTGGGGAATCTCTGAATAAGCTGCAGTATATGAACATAATGGAATAGTGATGCACTGTAAGAAATTACGAATATGAAGAATTCAGGGTAACTTGGAAAGACTTATGTGACCTGATGCAGAATCGGGACAATTTACACAATGACCACAACAAAGTACAGGAAAATAACAACGTGACATCAGAAATCAGACCAATCACCGAGATGAATACTTAGGTAAGAGGGAAGGCCGTCCATCGAGCAGAGAGAGGGTAAACTATAGGTATGGAATGAGGAATTTAATGTCAGAAATGTCCGGTACATCGATCTGATTTCTGACGTCACGTTGCTATTTTCCTGCACTTTATTGTGGTCATCGTGTGAATTACAAGCAACCAATTAATAATCATTTCTTTCAGAAGAAACTGAGGTTGAGAGAGACTGTGACATGCCCAGGATTGATGAAGAAGAAGACTTCATTAGAATAAATATGGGTGCTAGTCTTTAGCTTTCCTGTCCTTCTAAGATACTAAGACTATCAATGATAATGCTTTCCCTGCCTCCATTTTATTTTGTACCTATTTTATGCATATGTGTGTGCACGGCCATTTTAAGCTCAGTGAGGGCAAGGACTGTTTCATTTTTGTCATTGGCAAATTATTTGACATAGATCTTTCTCCTCTATCATCGAGAGATGAGCATTAATTTGATATAGAAAATAATGAGCACTTTCAAAGTAAATTGAAGTCCTTGAAAAAAGGAGCCTAATAGAAAGGACAAACTCTCAGGAAGAAGAGAGTGAGAATTTTGGTAAATGAGATAGGCAGATTCCCAGTCTCTTTTTACCTGTTAGCTCTAATCTTCTAGGCCAAACTTTAATGAGTAACAACACTTAACTGATATGTGTCTCAGCACCCCCACCTGTCCTTATCAACTGCTGATAGGTGGATTAACGGGCAGGGGGCAGGTAGGCAGAGGTAAGAAGGACCCTGGATAACATACAAAGGAGCTGCTGGGGTTTCTTTTATATCACTGCTTAACCTTTGACGCTCTCCATGAGCTCCTTCTCTTGTCTTCCAACTATCAACGCTCTCTTGGAAGTCATGTCATCACAGAACAACCCTATACCCTTCAGAGGAGGGACCTTGGCACGAGTTGAGGAAGACTGATGTTGCTTTGTGTCCATCTCATTCTTCTCCCCTTTTTCTCAATGCAAGCACCAAGGGCAGGGCAGCTGTAGTAGTGACTCTCCCAGAGGCTGCACCCTCTGTTTCTGACTCTGACTCTAGCCACTCACTGACACAGGCAACAGGTGCAGTCAAAGGCACAATGTGAAGGAGGCAGGAGAGAAAAATGATTTCCTGATATAAGTACTGCTAAATAAATCTCCTTTAAGAAATCCTCTTTACTGCTGAATGACCTTTTTGTTCTAATATCAAATGTAAACAACCAAGGATTCTGGTCTGAGTCTGGCACAGAACAGAAAAACCTCATTTGCATCAAACTGGCAAAAACTATAAGTGACAATTGGTAGAAAGGCTGCAGGAAAACACTCATAGTGGTGTTCCATTGATTGATCTCTGAACCGATAAAGCCATTCAGGAAAGCAATTTGGGACTGTGCCAAGAAGTCCATAAACTATACATTCTCAGAAAAACCACTCCTAGGAATATCCCCCAGTGAGAAAAAAGAAAGAGGGAAAAGATACATATGTACATTCTATTAGAGAATGCCTAAAGAAATTATGATATATAAATATAGTGAAACATTGCTCCACAAGAAATGATGAGATGAAAGACAAGACCTGGATAAATTGATGCAAAGTGAGCAGAACCAGGAGACCAACTTATGTAATAACAATATTACAAAGAAAAATAATTTTGAAAGACCAAAGAAATTTGGAGAAAATCTCAAAATTCTGTCAACTAGAACCACAAGAAACATATACATATATAATATATGTATATATACAATATATGTACATACATTATATATGTATTATGTATGTATACATACACATACATACAATAGAATAATGTAAATAATCTCAACTGGGCCCTCACTTTGGCAATGATTGCTCTTACCACATAGGCCTGTGTTCTTCCTATAGGAATTACCTCGTGGGAAATTGTTTCTTTTCTTCTTTGAGGCGGAGGGATTTACATTGCTTTATTAGGCATGCTTCTTTCCGTTTTGAGATAGTGAGGGTGAGACTTCTACCATCTTACTGAAGTCCAATACTTCTATACATGAGAGTCATTCCTCCCCAAACTCCACATAGTTCAAAGATATCATTACACACAATTCTCTTTATTCATTTATTTGAAGACAGATGCTGATATCAAAACAATAGCCTCCTAACTGATGGCAGGGGGGAAAGCCACAACAAAGAATTGTAGCATAGAATTTTTTTCATCACGTCTGCTTTTTTATCACATTTAAATAGACTCACCTCCACCAAAAGGGGCCCATATGACTCTGCGAATGGACTTCAACCATTCTTCCATGTCCGTCTGTGTATCAGCCATGAGGAGGTAGGTCTCATGGTTGGCTGTCATCTGATGCTGATCTCTTCCTACAAAAACAGTGACACATAAGCAAGCTCCCAGACAAAACCTTGCCACCAAAAGCTTCCCCTACAACTACTATCACACCCTACACGCGTGATGCAAGCACAGGGACTGTATTATGCCAGGCTCTGATTCTGTCAAACAACATATTATTTATCCCTCTCTGCTATGGGTATAAGTAGGCCATAAGTGTTTTTATCTAAGTCACTGACAAAAATTATTAGAAAGAGCTAAGGATAGAAACTTGACTTAGAAAGCAACTATCTAAAACAGTAGATCTCTGAAAAAGAGAATAATAGAATGAGAACGCAAAAAAAATGTCATGGTAGAAGGAAAATTAACTAGTCAAAATCAAAATACAAAACAGGAAGAGCACATGAGAGCTCTAACAAAACAAGAATGCTGAAATTGAAGACAGGGTGTAAAGACAATCTAAAAACTACAAATCTTCTAGAAACACATTAAAAAAAAACGTGAATACCATGCTTTGGAAAGTTATAGGAAAGTTGCCCAGAAATGCTGCATACATAATGCTAAGTACATGAAAGAATCTACAGAACAGCAGAAAGAAACCCAAATTTAACTTAAAAAGTACATTGTAGTCAGGGTTCATTTAAAAAAAAAAAGTAGGAGGCCAGGAAAAAAATCTCTTCTATTCCAATAAATGAGAATATCACAGCATTACTCTTTGCTTATAATAAATAAGCACAAGACAAGTAATCCTTTCAGAAGTTCTCAGAAATTCACCATGCAAATTCATCAAAGAGAAGCATGAATAGATTCAAATGGCAACACAAGACCAAGAAATGGAATGTATGTTTTTATACAGCTAGAGATAAATGTGGCTGGAGGGTAGGAAAATCTTTTTTTTGTTGGTTTTCAAATTTTTCTTTTAAAAAAACATCATCTGAAAATCATTGATAAAGAAAAGAGGGCTTCAGTGAACTAAAGAATTCAAGAAACAAATGACATGAGGGGAAAAATCAATAGGAAAATAGAAGAGAATTAATATGTCATAAATAAAAATATTTCATAAAAATTTCATTTCTCTTGATGGAAGTAGGGAGGGAAGTTTAGGAAAAAACTGGTCAAGGATTTCTAGTTAGGATAGAAAAGTTTAAAAAGTCCTAGGAACCCAGATCTTCTGACAATTGTTTTGCTCAGTTGTGTCCAACTCTTTGTGACCACATTTGGGTTTTCCTTGGTGAAGGTACTGGAGTGGTTTGCCATTTTCTTCTCCAGACCATTTTACAGATGAGGAAACTGAGGCAAACAGGGTTAAGTGAGTTGTCCAGAGTCACATAACTAGTAAGCCTCTGAGGCCAGACTTGAACTCAGAGGTAGTTTGCCTGACTCTAGGCCCATCACTCTATCCATTGCACCACCCTAGCTGTTCCTCACAAAGACCGCAGCAAATACCTCAAGGGACACCAGATGAAACAATGATCAAGAATATCAGAGAGAAATACCAGTAAACTCATTCATTCCATTATTACATAAATAAATTATCAGAAAACTGCACACTAAGAAGAGGGAATATTGGGTGGGAATGAGGGGAGAAATAAATTGAATGTGAGCTCTGGTAAACGTGGCCCGAGACCAGCAGTCTCTTGGTTCTGGCCAGGCAGAACCACAGAAGTGAACAGGCTGGGGGAACCCTCCAGGAAGCCCGAAACCAACACAACCTTTGAATCCTGTTGGCCAAGTCAAGGCAGCGTTAGGGAAGGGAGCGAACTCCTAGTTGGGGATATTTTAACAAGAAGAAGCCAGAGACGGTTCCATAGGCCAGCATCTGCTTTGTGATACCAGGAAGTACAGGCATAAACCAAGGATGGTAGCAGGGAGGGGAGTGGTTCCATTCACCCCTCACAGAACTCTAATGGTAGGATCCATTGTATAGAAAGGAAAAAGAACCAAACAGAGGTTCCAAGAATGTAGAAGGATGTAGACTTTGGCCATAGTGCAAAGCCTCAATCCAAGAAGAGAGGCTATGAGTGAAAAAGAAAACTCCAAACTCAATGAAGAAATACTGGGGGTTAGGAGAAGCCCTAGCAGTAAACCCAGAAAAGGATAATTACACAGTAAGTACAATAGAACCTCAGAAGAAAAAAAAATGACTTGGTCACAATGACTGTAAGAGTGGCTGGAAGAAATGAAGTATAAGGGAAAAAAATACAAAAAATTTGCACTGATCTTTTCTGATCTCAAAAGCTAAGCAGAGCTAGTTTAAGTTAGTACTCAGATGGGAGACGACACAAGAATACTGTGTGCTATAGGCTTCCAGGCTTTTTGGTATAGTTCGAGAGTAACCTCGAGAGTCAGGTTCAGACCCTTCCTCTCTTGCTAGTAGCCGTGTGACTTTGGGCAAATCGTTTAATCTCCCTGAGCTTCAGTTTCCTCATCAGCAAAACTAAACAGTTGGATTAGATGACCCATGAAGTCTCACCCAGCTTAAGACCTATGATCTTTCTAAGGAAAAAAAAACTGGAAGGAAAATAAATACGTTATAACAGAAGGCAGAAAACTCTAAGTGGCGAACTCCTTGGAAAAAAGAATGAAACAAATGGAGTAAATGACTCCATGAGACAACAAGCAACATTGCCATAAAATAAGAAAACCTAAAGATTGGAAAACCATGGAAGGTATCCACTATCAAAAGCAAATGATCTGGAAAAAAAATGCGAGGAGACAAATTTAAGAATCACTGGTCTCCCAGAAAACCACGAACAAATAAAAAATTTGTATATTATATTACAATGAATTATAAAAGAAAGTTGCTCAGATCGTTTAGAACCGGACAACAACGTGAAAAGAAAATGCAAAAACGAACAAAAAACAGTTCAGCTCCTGAAAGAATTCCCAAGTTGAAAACACCTAGGAATGTCACAGCATAAATCAAGATTTTTCCCAGTCAAAGAAAAAATGCCAGAAATGTCCAGAAGAAAGCAATACTAAGGAACCACAGTCAGGATATTATCAGATTATACTGAATCTACTGTGAAGGAGAAAGGACTGTCTTTTGCCCGTCTTTGTATTCCTAGCATTTAGAACAGTGCCTGGCACACAGGAGGCACTAAATAAATGCTTGTTGACTTGACTTGTGATGAAATTTTGACAACAATATTTTAAAAGAGGAAAGAAAAATGTATATAAGAAAAAAAATAGACCTTTAACAAAGGACTTTTAATCAGTCTTGATAAGAAGACTAGGAAGAATTCTGGAGTGTGAACACAGGAGACAAGAGAAACCTAGAACAGTGAATGCATTTGAGCAACTACAAGGAACTAAATGATGATGAAGGCTTGTATTCAAATAAAAAAGGAAAAAACAGAAAGAAAAAAATAAATTTACATGAGAATTTTGTTGTATGTTTTGTGCATAGTAGAGTTGCAGTTTCATGTACAATTATCTTTTTTTATTGTACTATGTTATGGAGATGCTTGTTTTATTCCATAAATTAAAAATAAAATTTTAAAAAATCCCATTGTCTTCAAGGGTCACAGAGGATGCAGGGAAGTCAAACTCAGGCTCCGGTGATGGTTTTGCTGTTTTGCTGGCTTTAAGATAGGAAATACACAGGAAGGAAAAGAGAACACACTAGGAAAGAAATCAGGAATAATAAAAAAGTTACCATTTCTCATAACTGTGGTTTGTCAGAAGAAGGATGGGTGTAACAGGCATCCTAGAAACCTTATTCTTATCTGAATGGGGCAAAGAATGAATAACTAGACAATCAGAAAAACACCTAAGAGTTTGATGTAGAAATACATCTAACCCAACAACGCAACATGTAGTGACAGGGTGAAGGGAGAAGGATATTTGAGAGGGGGTAGTGTTAGGAAGGGAATATTCACAAACTTCAACTTTGAAGGGTAAATCACAAAGGAGGGATTAAAAGGAGAGAAAAAATATAAGAAATGGCGATTGAGGTCTGGGCTGGGTGAAGAGAAGTGGGGCAGAGGAATAGGATTAAAACAATTTTAATTACAGATTGTCAATGTTTACTACATTCCTTTTCTTTACCCACATTCTTTGCCAATTAGGACAGGGACTAAGAAAGGGAAAAATTACAAGAGATTAGACTGGAGGAAAATACACAATAATGAGAATGAGATTAATCCACCCATTAAACAAAGGAGCACAATGGAATGGATAGAGCCTCATAGTATGCTATTTTTAAAAAATATTTTAAACAAAAGATTAGGAAGGAATTAAAAAGAAGAGTTGAAGTAGAAGGCACTGTGCCATAGGAGAATTTTTAGAAGTGCCTATGGCAATCATGGTATCAAAAGAAAAGTAAAAGTAAATGTGTTTATTATAATATTAATAGCTAATTCATATCACTTTAAGATTTATGAAGTGCTTTACATATATTATTTCATTTGATTCTCAAGAGATGTTACATTACTTGCTTGGGGTCACTCAGCTAGTGTCTGACTAAGTCTAGTATCTAATTATTTTTATAGGCACCATAAACAATGAATTATACTAATACTTAGCATGTAACTTAACATATATGGACTGAACAGCATAGCATCTCAGTAGCTAGATATAAAACTAATTCAGTTACAGGAAGAAACAGACAACCTCGCTTAGTTGCAGACGTCAATGTTCTTTCAAATCATGTACATCTTACGAAAAAAGTAAACAAAGAAGATGCTAAATGCCTATCATCATAGAAAAGTTAGATATGATAAATATCTGATTATTAATGAATGCTAATTGAAGAGGTATACATACCCTAAGCTTTGAATAAGACATTTACAACAACTGACTGATCTAGGGCATAAAAACTTCATAAATGAATACAAAGCATAAATATTAAATATTAATAATATTTCACTGACTACAGCATTAAAATTATAGTCAGTCAAAGGCAAAGGTTGATCTGCCTGCCACAATTCTCTCCTCCACTTAAACCATCTTCCACTTAGCTGTCAAAATGATGTTCCTGCAGGGCAAGTCTGACCACATCACCCCCTCTATTAAATAAACTCCACCTATC